AGTGCCCACTTACACCACAAGCCAGCGTTTGGGGGCCACTCACTTCTTGAACAAGTGCACCTCTTCCACATGAGCGGTTTAGACCCACATCTATCTTAGCAGGGAGGGGCATCCCAGGCACGGTGCTGTAGGCGGCACATGAAGCCTCTGTAAACAAGGTAGGGCAGTTCAGTCTAATAGCTTTGTGCATGGCCTAACTGAAATGTGAGAGCACAGGATGAGGCAGCTGTAGCCTCTTCAATTTGTAAGCGGTGGTAAGGAGCGGAGGGTGGTACGGAGTTTGCAGACTTCAAAAGCCAGAACAAATAGCAGTGTGAAGGAAGCATGGCGCTGTAGTCTGTTAGTGAAAATGTTCAGGTAGCAGAGAGAAACCTGGGGTTTTAGTTGCTTTTCCAGACCCTGCTTTACATATTTTATCTTTCAAAAACTAAATTGACAAAAACTGGAGACAACCTTTAAAATAAGGACTGAGAACTGGGCCTTTTCCCTCCTTGTGCAATGTTGTAACTAGGCTACAGCCGCTCTTCTTGCTTGTGCAGCTGTTGGGCCCTAGACTATCACAATCTCTGTGCCACCTGTTTTGAATGTAAGTGGCTGTATCTGTACTGTTAAATGTGCTTCTAGCACAGAGCCAGCCCCTCCCCAGCCTTTTAAGCACTGCTCTATGCTGTTGCTAGCTTCCCGTAGGGCTTAGCTTAGGGATGGTATGTAACATGTACAGCATGTAATGTCAGAGCCATGCAACAGGACAAAAAGAGGAGGTGTTTGGCATTCAGGCTTCTTGCAGCTGCTGAGAATTTTTCAGATCATAGCTTTGGACATTATTGCTACCTATCTTAGCTCCCTTGTGATCTGATCTGCAGTCTGATCGCAGCCTTCCTGGATATCTTCACAAAATACTTCTAGGGTTTTATAAAGTACAACTTCATTAGTCTTTTAACATTTGGGCCCAAACTTGCATTTGTACCATATTCCAGACACAATAGTAACCTTGATGGTCACTGTGAGTCCAGCAGTTTTCAGACCAACTTCATTCTGTAGCTTGCAACTGAATTGAAGTGCTGCAGTCATTACTCGCACAAGTGAGTAAGCGAGCAAGCTTCATGCTTGAGCAGGTACCTAAGAAGAACAGAAGTGCCCCCAGCAGAGGTCCTGGGGAAGATGCTTGCAGTAGGAGGGCTTGCCAGGAGGAGAAGGTGCCTGTAGAACTGAAGGATTTGAGGCACCTGTTGATTAAACAGATCTTGAAAGACACATCCCCTGCACCCCACCCCTCAAGGAGGAGTGTGACCCAGAGAGTCATTTCCCATAAAGCGGAGGCGGAGGTCAATTAGAGAAGGAGGAAGAGTTGAGGAGCAGCATCAGAGAGAATGATGTGGAGATGCAGGCAAAGGCAAAAGATGCTGTAATTGAAAGAAGAACTGAAGGTGGAAGAATAAGGCCATTAAGACTTCTTCATCTCAGAATGAAAGTTACTCAAGAGAAGATTGAAAGGAAGATAGTAGTCAAGATTTACATCAGTTCCAGAAGGAGGCAGGAGTGTGTGACTGTTGAATCCTGATTAAGTGATCCAGAATATAAAATACCATGCTGCACTAGTTAAAAATCTTTTTAAAAGACTTTCAGTTGTTTTAATTTTTAAAAAAAAAATGCCAGTGGAAAAAAAAAATGTTCGTAAGTCTCTAAATAGTGCTAGTGGGGAGAACACTTGTCAGAAGCATCTCCACATAACACTGGATGAATAACTACTCCTATGAGGGATATTTAGAATGTGCAGAAAGAAGCAGCAGGGGTAGTAGCAAGGTATGTGTGTAACTGTGTACATCCTCTTGTTTTGGTGTCATATGGCAAAGAAAGAAAAAGCAGGACCATACAGTGAGGATGTGGGAGTGTTCCTGGTGGTGCTGAGGAATTACCTTGGTACCATTCCAAAACTATAAGAATGTTTCACCTCTGGCTTCAGTTAGCTGGATGTGTTGAAGATGGAGGGAAGATAGCAAGATGCATCATGGGCACTGAAGAAGGAAGAAGCGAGGTAGAAGCAAAGCTGAAAGAATGTGGTTCATTCAGGGCTGGAGACCAGATAATCTCTTAACTGAGGGTGATGCCTTGTGGTAGAAAAATATAAAATACACACCCTCTATTATTCTTTCTTATTGGGATAGTACTAACAAAAACTTCTGCTGGCCACTGAGAGCAACTGGAAGTAGACTGAGAGGGAGAAGAAAGACTTGGACTAACTGCAGAGAGGAGGCTACAATAACTCACCCGAGGCAGCCAGGAAAAACGACTGCGTTATTCTGCCTTCAGAGGCAAGGCAGTACTGCTGTCACTGTACAGAGCTCTTGAGAAACCTCATCTGGCATATTCTGTGCAAACATCATCCCTGCTCAGGACAGAGCAAACCTAAAGGTTTTGCAAAGCGGGGGACAAGTGGGATAGATAGATAGTTTAACAAATAAAGGCAGAAAGGCATCTCCTCACTCGTGCTCTCTTGGAGAGCAGCTATCAAACCTAATGGACAATCTTCACAGAAAAGTGGGATATGTGCTAATAAACATCATTTGATACTAATCAAAGTTCCTAATTGTTAGAGTGGAAGGTTCTGGAACAATCTTTCTAAAGGAACAAAACACATTTAACTGCTTCAAGACGGATCCTTAAGTGGATTACATAATGATTTTTACCATAGTGGTAGAGAACTGCACTGAATAGACCCGGAGGACTTCCTAGTCTCTGTTCACCTGAGAAGTCCTATTGGATTGACACTGGCAGCATAAGGAAGGGATTCCCACTCTGACTGTACGATCTGACTCAGTGCTGCTCCAGAAAGCTGTTGTCATTCTGTGTCCCAGTTCTGCAGAGTGCTTTGCTTATGTACACATCAAAGCACATTTCTGTTCGTGTCCGTCACTCGTGTATGTATGTGCCCCGTTGAATTTACACAGTGTTTAAGAAGAGAGGCTACAGCTTGGAAAAAACAGCTGCTGTGCATGGTTATTAGGCGAGATGTTTTGCTTAAAAATTCATCCTTTTAAGCTGCTTACTTAGATTCCACCTAAGGACAACAGGCATGTTCTTAAATAAGCTTTCTTGAAAGAGATGCTTTGGGCGTGGGGTGAGTTCTGTATGTGAAAGCATAATATTTTTCTTGATGTTGAAATTCTTGTTTTCTTCCTCAGTTGGGAATTTTTGGGTGCATCGTGTTTCATTTTGTAAGTGCTTCTGAACGCACTCAGAAATAGTGCCGTCATGTCCAGGCTTGTACTCCCTCTGCCCCTGGGGATCCTATTGTGCAGATAAGAGTGTGGCTTGTCCTGAGTGGGATTTCTGCCTCAACCATGAACTTCCGATTTAAGTTTAGGCTTCTGTGTCCAGCCTTGAGAAACGTTTGAAATTTTTACTTCGGTGTGCCCTGTCTCTCTCCTTGCGTTAAGTTGTGATTCAGCAAAATATTCAAACGCGTGCTTCAGTCTGTCCTTTTCCAGAAACGTGGGTAAGGGATTACGGAAAAGGTGATTGAATGCTGCCAGTTCAGTGTGAGATTAATACTTTGCAAAGTTGATGCTAAATAATGTTTGAAAGACTTTTGGTATGTGAGTTTGAAACTTCCGGCACAAGTATTTAATTTTTATTGTGCTTCTTAATTTGGTGGGTGATTCTTGCAGTGGCTTTATGTTGCAAACTACATCCGTTCAGTCTCTTTTTTTTTCTTTTTCCCTTCTCTCTCTCTCTCTCTTCCCCCCCCCCCCGCTTTAGATCGCTCTGGAATAGAAAATGTCAATTCTGTGGAGGCACTTCAGGAAACACTAATCCGTGCATTAAGGACCTTAATCATGAAAAATCACCCAAATGAAGCCTCTATTTTCACAAAACTTCTTTTGAAATTACCTGACTTGCGTTCCTTAAACAACATGCACTCTGAAGAACTCTTGGCCTTTAAAGTTCACCCATAGGCCTTTAGGTCTCATTTGTACTTGGACTTGCCTCGTGTTAAACTGTTTTGTGCTAAAATATGTATTTATACAGTTGTACCACTTGTTGGAGAGGGAGAGTTCGCAGACTGTGAACAATTGATAGCTGTCCCATAACCATGCAATAACGCTTCAGCAGGTGCTTTCAGCTAACGGCGGCGCAGCATTCAGAGTCCTCCAAGACGTCCAGACCCAGCTGTGCTGCACTTCTGCAGAAGAGGTTGTGATGAGCCCGAGTAAATATGGACTGTTCTTTCACTTAGAAAAAAGAACCACCGCTGCCCTCTCATGTAAACTGAACACAAAATAGCTGTGTATGTGCATATGGAGCATGGAATGGGGTGGGAACAATCCTGCGCTAATAGGAAAATGGAAGAGCTGATTTAATTGGTCTTTCAATTATCTAATAGATGTATGTCTGTGTCTCTTGATAACTCACTCATGGTTTCACTGTTGTTATTCCATTAAACCCAATGGAATGATTTCAGCCTGCACCAACTCTTCACTGAGTGTGTGTTCATGCCATCTGTATATAATATAAATAGTTAAGTAATGAGTGTTTATGGCTATATAAAGTACAGAGTTGTGTGTATATATGTGTATGTATATAAATAGTTCTATACATAAAGTATACATATAATTTCTTCACAATATTTTAAACTGTGAAGGAATTTAAACTTACAACAGAAGGTGATCTATGGAAAGAACCAAATAGATGCACTTTGCATATTGCTGAACTAATTATCTGAGCATTTCTAATTTTTAGAAAACATCAAATTTGCATTAATATGCTGTGTGTGTTAATTTAAAAAAAAAAAAAAAAAAAAAGAGTGGCACCAAAGCGGCAGAGTCAGCTTCAACTTCCAGAACGGGTTCGTCGAGAATCTCAAGTGGAGATGGTTGGTTGTGGCACTAATGAGATTGATTGTCCGTTGCCACTGAGGTTCTTACATTCTGATAAAGGTTAAAGAAGCACCACATGCTCTTCAAAAACTTCAGCACAGCCAGAAAGAAACTATCAGATGAGTAACAGCATCTATCAGAAGAAAAAAAATGCAAAAAACTTATCCATGGTTGCATTTGGGTGTATGTGTGTTCTGTGACCATTTATTTCTTGCAGTACATCATTTTGCTGCTTCACTGCTAAATGAGAATTGAACACAGAAATGTGGGATTCCCCATGTCTCTTCACAATTTGGGCTTTGTGGTTCCCATGCCTGTTCTTCTGGAGCTCTCCACTGGTGCGTGTGTGTGTGTGTGTGCAGAGAAGGTACACTGGATGGTCTGGATTTTTTTCTTAAAAAAACACCACAAAAACTAAACAAACAAATGGGACTTTTTTTGTTGTTTATGCCAGTAGCAAATTACAAAGCAGATCCTCAAGGCTTAAGATTCTGCTGCTTTTCCATCTAGGAAAGTGGCTCTCTATGGGTTTTCTCCATTTATAGCAGGACCTGGCACCAGACGAGAGATTAAAAGAAGTCAAAGCAGTTGTGTTAATTAGTTACGTTTTGCTAATGTGGGAAGAAGATGCTCCGTTACCCTTGTGTTTAGTTAATTTACCTTAGAGGTAGCCCTCTGGGTCGCTAGCATTTGGTAACGCTGCTCTGTGGAGGGAGAGACCTCTCTGTTGCTGCATTTAGATGTATGCAGTAGTTGAGGCCAAGAGGCGGAAAGCTGCCGGGCTGCAGAGTTCCTCCTCGCCGTGCCGGAGCAGCTCTCGCGCAGCAGCGAGGGGATGGGAGCCCTCGTGCCTGCCGCGGAGCTGGAGCAGAGGCAGACCTCTGCCTGCCCTTGAGCATCAGGAGCCGGGCAGAGGAGGGGAGGCTCGTGCCCCGCCACGGCTCCCGTCACCTTTGGGCTGGGGGATTTCTCCTCGGAAAGGGGTAAGGAATGCTGGCCAAGGGGCCGAGAGCAAGAGGGGGCAGGTGCTTGAGTACAAGCTGGGGAAAATTTGGCTTTAGCCTTGGCTAAGGAGCAGAAGAGCCCACCCTTTCCCCTCCTCCGCAGCTGCTGCAGGGAGAGCTCGCCTGTTTCAAGCTACTTTAACCACTGGATAATGGCCCCTTAATACATACAGTTTTGCTATCCAAATGTGCTATCGGGGCATATTGTCCTAATTTCTGTTAACAGTCTGCCATCCTACCAGTATTATTTGTTTGAGAGCTTCACTGAATTCCTCATTGAACCATTTGGACTTTAGAAAGGACACAGTCACGTGTTTTGTATTATTTAGGAGCTGAAATGACTTATTTGTAGACCCCATTTCAAATGTGGGAAGTACGGTTAACCCTTGGTTGTTTTGGGAGGGAAGGAGGCTTCTTACAGAGATTGCCACCCTACAACTGTGTTTTGTTGTTTTTTGTTTTTTTGTTGTTTTTTTTTTTCTTCTTAAAACTGTATTATTAAGCCTTTAGGAATGTATAACCAGGACTGAGTAATTACTGCTTATTAAATTTTTAGTTAGATTGACCATGTATGCCTATAGATAGATATTCTAACTTGTGCAATTTCATTTGAAATAATCTTCCTGTACATAATGGAAAAACTCATATAACAGAAAAAAAGCCCCAAAGAGATTGACTGAACAAAAAAGTTGATTAAAGTATGGTTCAAAAGTGACCCACATGTTACAAACCCTAGCTGGACTCTTAGAAGAAAACCGAAACTCATCGTGTTAGCTGTGTATTGTGAGCTCTTCTTTTACTGTGTCACTGGTTATACACTTGTTAAACGCTGAGATAATAGACTTCATGCCAGGCATTTAAGTACTGTAGATTGGGTCATTGCTGAAAGATTAATGTACTGTATGACTTAAATGAAATTTTTATTCTTGATTTTATTCTTGATTTTGTTCTTGTTTTAAAAGATTAAATATGGGCATTATGTCAGCAAGCTAAACTGTGTTTCTGTGTTCTCTGCATTTTTCTGTACAAAGCCTGGAGGGGAGGACAACATGCCGAGATGAGCAAAGCAGCAGTAGTGGATGAGAACATCAGCTGCTGTAAGGTCACGGGGGCTGCACTGGTGCACAGTGGCTGGGAGCCCGTGTCTCGGTCCGCCTGCGACACTGGTCTGTCTTGCCAGGTGGTTGGATGGGGTTTTCTGGTGCACTTCGCTTATCACAGTTAACGAATCTTTTTGGGTAGCATCATTAAAATAGGTAGTTATTTTAAAAACCTTCATTACATTTCAAGAATATGACCTTGTAATTGAAAAAATGTGTACAGTTTAATTTTTGGTAAAGACAGTCTTAAAGCTAGGTTATAAGAGGTAGATGGAAAACGGCATACAAAGGGCAAAGACCCGTTTGATTTTTCCAGCTTGATTTCCTAGTTTGAAGTGTTTACTGTTTTAGGAGGTAAGAGAAGCTTCTCCAGGAAATGCTGCATCTATCAGTATTTAAAAAAAAAAACAACCCAAACCCAAAACAGAAACAAAATTATGACCGCCAGCACTGGAAAAAACAACAGCACAAAACCACTTTTTTTTCTTGGCATGCTTTCTCTGGTGGCATGTTTGCATATGGCTTCCCTTGTTGCCGCCCAGTCTGAGCCCCCATGAGCAGGGCTACGAGCCACGGAGGTCCCAGGGCCTGGGGGGTCCTTGGGAAGAGCTCTTGCCAGCTTTCGCCGGGATGCTCCGCTTGGGCTACAAGTAATTTTGCCCTGTTCGGCTGTGAAAGCCTTATCGCAGCAAATGGGGGAACCAGGCAGGGAAGCTTCCCAGTAAAAACACGATTCCATTCCCCCTCTCCCACCCTCCCAGTTTGAGCAAGACGCTCTGGGGATGGGGACATGAAGCATTTGTGCTTGTTCGTGGGAATTGGAGTCGGCAGCGCCCACTCAAGTGTGAACGTGCCCGCAGGAGCCTGCCCGGTCTCTGTCCTCGCTCCACGAGGAAATGGCGAATGTCACAAAGAAAAACAAAGGTAGGACTGTTGCTTGTGAAAGTATAAACTGATGAGGGTGTGGGCAGCCAGCTGCCTCCTGCTCGGGCTCGTGACCCACGAGCTGCGTGCAGGGTGGGAGGGATTCAGCATTCGCAACTGAACCACAGAACACTTTGGTTACAGAAACAGTTCGTACAAGGAAATAATTGGCACTTCCTTTTTTTGATGAGACAGTGAGCAACTGCCAGAGCCTTCATCAGCGAATACCTTCTTTTTTTTTTCTTTTTTTTCTTTTTTTCCTCAAGGTTGAAGGGTGGAGCGGGGAGGGAGGAACATCCAGGTATGGGGAGAGCCCAGAGACGCCCACCCCCGACAGCCGACTGAGCTACAACGGGCAGCTTGGAAAAAACATTGCGGAGGCTGTGCTCGCTGGGCAGGAAAGTTGGTCAAGGACACAGCCGCATGGCCAGCGAGAGGAGCTGAGCAGGCGTGCGTGGAGGCTGCAAGGCTGCACATTCCTGGTTATCGGGAACAAACAGGTCCATCCACGCCAACAAAGCTTTCCTCCATGCAGACACTGCTCTGCCGTGTCAGGCCCTTTCACAGAGCAGTTTATACCTGCTGAAAACGTACACCCTAGCACTTCTGTTTTAAGGCAGCGCTTGCAATGATAGAAGGCTGAACCCTGCTGTCTCCTATAGCCGTAGAAACAAACTGCTCCTGCCTGGCCTGAATCCCCAAGGCAGGCTGCGTGCGGGAGCAACCATCCATGATGGTTGGTCCCCTGCATTGCTCCCCAGGAAAGCCTTTGCCTCTGGCTGGAGGAGGACCCTCAGGGGGTTACTTGTAAAGTTACATGCTTAAAACTGGGGGGGGTATCTTCTCGAAGGGCCTTTCTCTCTGCCCCCCCCACCCCCATACTTCAGCTTAAGAAGATTGTAGCTCAAATTATTTCATGCAACCGCATCGAGTGCTACTTAATAAGGTGGTACAGAGGCAGAGGCAAATACAACGTGTTAAAAGCCCATCTGGCCCAGAAGTTGCAGCTTAAAATGAAGCACATCTAGAGAGGCCTGCTGGGTTACTGCTGTACAACAGCTCTGCTCTGTAGACCTCACGCAGGCAGCCCTGGATTAGCTGCAAGGCTAGATAATTGCTGCTTTGGTTTTCATTTACTTAATGTAGATACTCAAAGCTGTGTGATGCATCAGCAGTGGTGATGGTTTATAAAATGAGGCTGACACTAATGCCCCCTTTTATGCCACTTTGGCAGGGTCAGTTGCCAGCACACAGCTGAAGATTGCCTCTGACCTAGGCTGGAGACTGACTCGGTTTCTGCATAGTCCCAGAACATGGGAGGATCTCGAGGAGCACCTCAGGTACCCCTCAGTTCCCTCCCCTCCGCTCCTTTGGCCCAAATGCAGGTGCAGAAGCCCCAGGAAGCAACCCAGATCTGTGCACAGATGTGACATCCCGATAGCTGACTTCTCTTCTGCACAACACTCCGGGATAGAGAAAACACATGGATAAATGGCCACCCAACATGTGTGCCTGGGTCCCTAGTGGCAGATGACACAAATTATTTAACAGTGCTGCATTTCCACGATGTCTAAACTAGTACCTCTTAGGCTGGCTTATGATGCAGAGATCGGTCCCTGCTGCACGGAGGATTTTTTTCTTTTCACCTTTTTATCCTTGCCCAACAGCAACCTCTCTGGCCTCCTCTCATGCCGCTTAATGGTGTGTGTGGCTTGGCAGCCCTATTTCCTACTGTGCAGTGTGCATTTGCCTTCTGCATGCCCATGCACAGGCTTCCCTTGTTGCTAGTTTGGCGTGGGGCCAAACTGACCCCCCTGACATCTGCAGGGGAGCATCTGTCCTGTTGGTCCCTTTATAAGAGTCTAAGCAAAACTGCTGGGTTAATGCATCAGAACACAAATGCTGGTTCTTACATTTCACAAGGGAAATTCAGTCATAATTATTTACAGTCATTTGCCATGTGCCTCGCAGAGGAGCTGTGCTAAAATAACGACGTATCGGGAAACCCAGTTCTGTCACTCAATGGCTGCCTTCTTTTAATTTATTTGCACACAGCCAATGCTGTGATAAACCTGGGCATAAAAGTATCATTTTTCTTATAGGTGCTTCACCACAGGAGAAGCTCCATTGCTTTCTAAGACAAAGTGGGGTGTCACTTCTTAACTTCATTGTAAACAAAACTTTCTGGGTAGCTAATTTCATGTAAGCCCTGCACGGGGCTCTACTTGCACAGGAGCCTTGCGTGAGCATGGGTGGGCTGAATTAAAGCACTGCTGCGAATAGCCAGGAGGATCGCCTGCCAGCGATACCAGGAATTACCTGGCGCCTGCAGCCAAAAATTCCTTGGCATAAACGAGCAGGCCGCAGGGAGCCGCGCGGGCTCAGGCTTTGCTCCGGCGCTGGAGGGGCGTCAGCCTCCCCCGGCTGCCCCACAGCACCACAGCTCCTGGGCCAGGCTCACAAGGTACATCTGGCCCTGAAAAGCCTCCTAATGCACTGGAGCCAAGACAAGAGAGTGTCACGTTCGGAGGGTTGGAGGAGGAGACAAAGATGGGATGGGTGGGGATAATAAGGCTAGGTGACTATAGCCACAGCTAGTAATTCTTTTCAAATAATGGAGAAGTTCCCTGTGTTTGCTCCTTCCCACCTGCCAGGTTTCTGCAGGTCCGCAAACAGGTCAGGATCTTTAAAAATAGTTCTGGAGCTGAAAAGCAAAGTGCTTGCATGCTCTGATGTCCTTGCCGTACTTGTCCGTGGTGTGGCTCTCCAGTCGTGGCTTGGCCTTCAAACATGCCTGGCACAAACCCCAGATGGCTGCTATGGTAAGCATTTGCTTTGCCTCTTTAGCCAGTTTACCCCCAAAATGGCCAGAAACAGTGCTGTCAGAGTTAGGACAGAGCTAAGTTTGCCTTAGTGCTGCAACAGTTTCCTTTTTTAGTCCTAGCATTTCATTGGAAATAAAATAAATAAATAAAACTACAGGACACTCAGAGCCAGGGCACAGCTTTGCCTGCCTGCTCACATATGTCTGCAGACATGCATACATACATACCCTCACTATCACATATTTACTCATTGCGATGACTGCCTCTTGGCCTACAGACTGGCATAATTTAGGCTCAGTTGCTAGTTCAGCCCGGTGACCTTACCACAGTACTTTGCACTTTACAAACCACCTGATGTCTACCAGCTGCTGAGGTTTCCACGGAGGAGAGATCAGCTTTAGCCTCATCCTGCTGGGGTGCAGCCCTATTTCTGTGCCGGTGCTCTCCCAGCTCAGCCATGCTACCCACATGCGCATTCATGCACGCTCAGGCTCAGCAGTCGTGCCGCTGGCTTGGGGACAGAAAGGTGTCCTCAGGAGTGTGCATCGCCACCTGAGGCAGCACCTCGGCGCCTGCGGTGCTGCCCTGGCTGGCCAGGCTCACAGTGGAAAGACCTGAGCCAGGGCGACCACACGGCCGTGGGTCACATTCCCAGTGTTGTTGCAGCTATGGCCTAAAATGATAAACTGGTCTAGTAAAGGTGAAGCCTAGAGAGGAACAGCTGGGTTTTAGTCTCCAGTCTGTCCTTCACTTGCTGTGAGTGCTTGGACACGTCGCGTACCCTTGCTCTGCCTGAGCTTCCCTTGCTGCGTAACACAGTGCTTACCACATATGAATTCCGTGGGCCTTCATTCGACAATGTTAGCTGACTGCTGGGAGAGCCTTGACAGGAGCCTTTGTGTTGCCCGAAGTGCTGAAGAGCTGCCACGTATTAGCAAGGGACCTTCTTGCACTGGAACTTAAACAAGCAGCTACCAGGGTGGGTTTTCTCTTCTCTGGAGGGTGTTAAAAGATGTAAGAGAGAGCAAGACTCCGGTGGCTCAACCCGTTAATACACTAGGACTTTATTAAAGTCTAAAAGGAGTACCTTGAGGGAAAATGGTGTTTCTCATATATGAATGACGTCTAATAAGAACAGCATTCTG